CTTTGCAATCTTCAGTTGCGTGCCCCATGGATCCTCCATGATATCCATATTGAACATAGGGATTGTACCCAGGAGGGTAAGGTTCTGGCACAGACTTGAGAGTTTTAGGCTCCACCAAAGAGTTTTGAATCAGATCTGGCAGAAGCTGACTATACGACATAGGGACTGGATGAAGAGGAGCAGTCCTTCTTTCCAAGTTGTTGCTAGGCCTATGTTGATTCTGGCATTGATTCGGATAACCTCGACCATGGGCTCGTTGATTTACATGAAGAGCAATCCACGGTTTATGGGATGAAGCTTTAGCCATGGCTGATTTCCCATAAGGATAACATGGCATTGGAAATGATGCTTGTTGAGCAGATGAGGGACCAAGGAGTTTTGCTGGTACATCATGAGAATACTCAATATTTGTTATGAATGCGTTGGTTTCATCCTTATCTTCCTCGTGGAAATCGTTGAAAGATTTAATCTCATTGGCCTGGCTGCTTGAGACGTCCTGGATTTGTCTGCTTTTAAGGTAGCTTTTGACGCGTTCTCCATCTATCACAAGATCAGAGAAACTTGATAGCGCACAACCATCCATTCTTTCAAGATAAGAACCATGCAAGCTATTTATGAACATGTCAATCAACTCCCTGTCCAAGAGTGGTGGTTGCACTCTTGCTGTGAATTCTCTCCACCGCTGTGCATATTCCTTAAAAGATTCATTTCCATTCTGAGATAGGCTTTGCAACTGCATGTGGATGGGAGCCAAGTCTAGATTGTATTGGTAATGCTTTAGAAAAGTGCTAGCTAAGTCCCTCCATGATCGGTTACGACTTCTTTCTAAGTCCATGTACCAATTTAATGATGTCCCACTCAAACTGTCTTGAAAACAATGAATCAACAACTTATCGTTATGAGTGTAGGAGGTCATTTTTCAACAGAACATCACCAAATGATGCCTCAGGCAACTAAAGCATATGTATTTCTCGAAGTTGGGTACCTTGAATTTCGGAGGAATCACCAGGTCTGGCACTAGACACATATCAGCCGCATCGAGGCCGGGAGTATCAGGCATTTTCAGAGCTTAAAGTCTCTCCTCAAGGGCACAAAGCTTTTCTTCCACGAGACCAGTCGGTGGCATCCTCTGGGGTCGAGTAGGAATGTTTACTTGTGGAGGATGGTCATTCGGCGGAAGATCATACAGTGGATTATTCGTCACAATAAATCCTTGTGGAGAATCAACATCCTGGCGATTATTCTCTGACATAGCTACTTCAGCTTACTTCGTCCAACTAGCCTTTCAAGGTACCCACGTTCCTCTTGCTCCAAATGCTTCACAACTCTTACGAGTTCAATGGGAGTGTCGGGAAATCAACTGCGGGTTATGAACAGAGGATGGGTAAGCTCTTGGTATTTGGTCAGGGAACAAAATGCAAAATGATGCAGATATGCTTATGCAAATGCAATGCAATATGAACTGCAACAAACACGCGATCAGGATCACAGATCCTGCAAGATAAACACAACGAGATATCTCTCACCTCAGATGGGCAATCTACTGGTTTATAAGAGGGTATCCCAAAGGCTTTAAACAAAGTCCTATGCATTAACCCTCAAAAGTTTTCCATCATAACGAAGATTCGTAAGACGGTAATCCCTTCAAAGGATGAACACAGAGTTATGTCTTAGTAACCTTCAGAATAAGGTTCTACAAAAGGTCCTCAGAGTCACGGACTCCCAGGTTGTAAATAAAGACACCGCTACGACTATACGTAAGACATAATCATCCCAAGGGGGTCTCATCTGAGCGGTGGAATTCAAACCAACTCAACGAGTCCTAAGTCTCGCAAATCAGAAAGAAACCCCCTCCTAATCTTAGTGTATACTAGAAAGCTCGGGTAGAAAGCTTTTATCCTCACAAACCATCCCAAATAAACCCAACAGGCAAGAGGAACAAAACACAATAAGTAAATAAAAGCAAATAAAACACAAATACGACAAACAAACTAGGTTTGGCTTGCTAGGTAGGTGTCCCTAGCAGAGTCACCAACTGCCGCTACTCAAAAAATGCAACGACGGGGAGGCGAAAAGAAAGACAGAAGAGTCGCCACTGAACTTTATTTATCCCATGAGGGGAAAGGAAAATACCGAGAAAACCTTAAGAAAGAAACAGATAAGATGGTCTCGCGACCAAAGAACGAGTTTAGAAGCCGGTTATGCGGAAGCCGGTTATGCGAATGGGTATACAATGTGAAGTTGAATCCTAAAGGAGAAGTAACTCGACACAAGGAAATACTTGTGGTGAGAGAATTTCTCCAGAAAGAAGGAATCGACTTCGACGAGGTTTTTGCACCTGTTGTTAGGATCGAAACAATCAGGTTGATCGTTGGTCTAGCAAACATGAACAACTATCATGTGTGTCATATGGGTGTGAAATGTGCATTCCTAAATGGCCCCTTAGATGAAGAAGTTTATGTTATACAACCAGTTATGTTTGTGAAACAAGGTAGAGAAAGCACGGTATACAGGCTGCATAAAACCCTGTATGAACTTAAGTAAGCTCCAAGAGCTTAGAATAAAAAAATATATAGCTTTTTAAGGGAGAAAGAATTTGTGAAATGCACAACCGAGCATGAAGTATATTTAAGAAGAAGCAATAGTAAATTGTTTATACTATGTCTCTATGTCGATGACTTGTTGATAATAGGTAGTTGCAAGAAAGAGATCGAAGACTTCAAAGGTGGTCTTAGCGAGGAATTCAAAATATCTGATATGGGCGACATTTCATACTTCCTTAGCATCGAATTCTACAAGAGAAGTAGAGGTTTGATGATGCATCAAAGAAGATACGCAAGCGAGATACTTAGGATATTTGAGATGAAAGACTGCAATTCGACTTCAACACCTGCTGAACCAAGACGACAACTTCGAAATACTCAGAGGAAGATGACGTCGAACCAACACAGTACAAAAGACTTATTGGGTCATTAAGATACCTTTGTCACACAAGGTCTGGTCTAGCATATAATTTTGGTATGATGAGTAGATTCATGCAAAAGCCAAAAGTATCACCCCTAGCAGCAACGAAGATGATACTATGGTATCTAAAAGAAACTCTCGACTATGACATTTTGTTTCCTGCAGCTGATGAAGAAAAAGAATGCAAGTTAGTGGGTTACACCAACTCAAGTTGGTGAAGTGATGTTGAGGATAAAAAAAATTAACAGCTCATTATGTGTTTATGCTAGGTGGTGCACCAGTTGCTTGTAACTCAAGAAAAGAACCAGTAGTGGCACTGCCGTCGTGTAAAGCAGAGTACATAGTTGCTTCTCTCTGTGCATGGCAAGCAACGTGGATGGTAAATTTGGTCGAAGAAATTACAGGGAAGAGTCATGGAGAAATTAAAATGAAGATCGACAACATGTTTGCCATCAATCTGGCGAAGAATCCAATAGCACATGGAAGAAGCAAGCACATCGAAATGAGGTTCCATTATCTTCGAGAGCAAGTAGAAAATGGGAAGTTAAACTTGGAACACTACAGAATTGAGAATCAGATTGCAAATATGATAATGAAAGATGTGCAGGTCGAAGTGCTCAAAAGACTAAGAACAATGATTAATGTTGATGGATTAAACACAACGAATTAGGTGATGTGTTGAGAATATACTCCCTCTGGACTTATTTATAAGGAAAAAAAATTACTTTTAAGATTCATTGAATAAATGTATCTGGACAAAAAAAATAGATCATATCCATTAGTTATTGAATGAATATAAAAAGTAGATTTTTTTTCTTATAAATAGGATCAAAGGTAGTAATTCAGTGTCAAAGGATCATTTCGACAGAATTTGTTGTTGTCAAAATGTTCTGCGCTAAAATTATATAGATATTGAAATGTCAAAGTGTGTTTTCCATAAAATTTTGACTTAACTTTATTTGTTTGTTTTACCTTAGTTAGTTGGGTTAGTTGATGATTGCTTGGTATGCAAGCAATCTCAGCCTATAAATAGGGACTTGTCCTATCATTGTAATAATGCAGTTGCATTGAAAAAAGATTGAATAAACTTCCATTTGCAGACAAAGAGTCCGCCTATAAATAAGGACTTGTCCTATCATTGTAATAATGCAGTTGCATTGAAAAAAGATTGAATAAACTTCAGTTTGCAGACAAAGAGATACTCTACAAAAATATTCTTCTTCTTGTCCTTTGTCTCCAAAACCCTAACTTTCCTTTCTTCCCCAATCATCTTTTTTTTTTATCTTCTCAAATTTATGTAACTTTCCTTTCTTCCCCAATCATCTTTTTTTTTATCTTCTCAAATTTATGTGTAACAAAATCATCTTGCAAACAATATGTAATTGATTCACTAGAATGAAAAACAAAAAAAATCAATCTAGAATTAATTCTTATTCATCAATATTTATTCCGAATTCTCCATAAATAAATTTGATATAATTCCGACAAATCTCTCTTTCTTTTCCCTTTCCTCTCCTCCAAAACAAATCATAAATGATAAATTCCATATTGAAATACTTGTTAAGTATTATTTTAAAAGTATTTTAAGTAATTGTTTTGTCTACGGACTTGGGACGTGTGCTAACCAACACCACTTTCCTTTGCAGCTAGAATGACATTTAAGATGAGCAAAGTAGAATTTAGTTGAGCTGGTCACTCAAGAAGAATTTCTCTCTTGTTTCCGTGGAGAAGAAAATAAAACCCTATCTCAAAAACAGGATTACATGATATGTGAGGTAAGAATAGAATAAATGACACAAACTTGAAATTTTAGAATTTGATTTATCACAAAACTTCATTAAGAACCATCTAAAAATCAGCAGCATACACCACCTGCATACTATTAAATATGTAATGATTCAAAATGCATAATAAATTTCTACACACATTAATATATATAATATAGTATAAGGTTTTAACTTGGACGTGACATATCAATGCCTTACATAAAGTTTAATTAACACGAGAATTTCAGATCACAGACCAATGTAATTTTTTTAGAGCATGGTGTTAGATAAATCCATGGGAAATGAATTGGTGAGAACATTATCCATATAATAATGTGGATGGGTTGGATCCATGACCACAAACTGCATATCCTCTGAAGGCTTCCAGTGGCGTTTCCTTTGATTAATAAACCAGTTGTTTATTTGCTTCTGATCAAGACCTGTTGACTCTGCTAATGCCAGCTTCTGTGACTCCTGTTATTCATAAATTGTGACAGGTTATTATCGTTTGTCTTCACACTAGTTACTAACAAAATAACTTTCTTAAATTTTGTAGTCGCACATTCAACCAGCTCGGACTATTTGTTAAGATCGGACAATTTTTATTTTGATATAGATTAAAAATCTTTTATCGGAGCTTAATCAATTGCCATATTGGTGGTTGAATTCTATTAAACTTGTACCGGCATGGTTGAATTCTATTAAACTTGTACCGGCATCTCACATTGCTCGAGTTCTAAGCTCTTGGAGACATAAGTATGTTTGAACATTTTCATTTTTTTAGCTAACTTTTGGAGAAAAGATTTAAACACATTTAAAATGATATCATAAGGATTGAAATGTGAAGCTAGGAACCGGATCCCAAGCTAGGTTTTGAAATTGTTAGATTTCAGGGTTTTCACACACCCTTATCCTATTAGCTTTTGGGATGAGATTCAAACATGGTTACACAAGATTGTGAGTGCACATAATTCAAATATAGGGTGGAAAAATCGGCTCAGTCCTCAAGACTTGCTTGTTTTGACCACAATTTTAGGTTGGCCGATTCGAAGTTTTAGGTCTGCACCCTCTACTATGTCTGATTCATCTCTCTCCATTTTTAGACGGGGCAAATCAAGATTTTTTTTCTCGTGCATTCTATTATGTCCACTCTGCCCCGTCCCGTTTCTGTTTGTGAAAGGACCTAATTGGGGCACCGTTTGCCACCCTTACTCAAATACATATATAATAGGTCAGATGTAGACACATAATCTATGGTGTCAAACCAGAATCAAAGATCTTATATTTTAACTTACAAAAAGGGTCCTAAAATACGAAATGCTTGTCCGGACTCGGGAGTGATTCTAAACATGTACTAAGACAAAACATGCTCCGCCTTCAATCAATTTATCAACATCAAAAAGGCATGATTGAATATGAATGAAAGAAATCAAAATTAAATTATAAATATTTCTACAAGAGATTAGGAAAAAAGATTATAGATAGTGCTTACAGATGGGTAAGGCCATTTGTAATGTCTGCTCCACCATTCAAGTAATTGTTGCCTTGCTTCTTTTGGAAGTTTTCCTTTTTTTCTTTTCTTCATGAATTCCTGCTTCAGACTCCCCAAATATCCACTGTACTTTCTCAAAAGCTGACCCTTTAATTCCCTGTCTTCTGCCTGAGGATCTATCATGTTGTTGTATAGATCAACTTGGTCTTCTTCAGATGATCCATTCCTATCTCCACCTTCATTACAAGCTGATCATCATATCAATCCATTCAACTATCATTATCATAAATAATTAACCATTAAACGTAATTACAAGTGTTGGTTTAACTTTAAGTTTTGAATACCGACACTGACACTGACACAGACACCTCTTTTTTAAGAGATGTCAGTGTCATGTAAGACCATAATACATACACTATTTATTCTTAAGGCTAGAGCTTCATGCATCTAAACCCTGAGATAATGGACACTCCTTTTTCTTCAAACAAGACAAAGCTAAAGATGAAAAAGTTTATTCCACATGAAGGCATATATTTTACCAAAATGCTTAACTTATCAAGAGTAACATAATACATATAAAGAGACCCTAGTCAAGCCTAGATGCAGAAAAAAGCCAAAGAGAGGAACCCTATTATCATAGGGTTAAAAAGAGTGCATTATACTATTTCAGTTTATTATTATAAGTCATTTGAAAAAATTAAATTATGTTTTGAAGGGCAAGACAGTACATTACTACAAAGAAGCTTCAATGATTATAAAATTATAATATGAAGAACTTCAAAAATAGATGTGAACATGAACATAAAATTGAGTTAAACTATAAGAAAAGTTACTACTAAATACTTCTTTTGGCCCATACATAGTTGAAGGCCTGAAATCAGTGATTGACTAAAAGCTTAGTCATTTATACATCCAAGGAAGCATATCATAAGTTTCTACTTGCTCTCAATTTTCATCATTCATAGTCATAAAAACTTTAGCAGCAATGTTTGACTCATTCTCCTTGGTTGTCAAATTCAAGTGTAGAGTTCATTCAACATGTATAATAATGTAGGGAGCACAAACAATATAACTTGTGGTAGAAATGCAACATAGATAAATCTAGATGCAACAATGTATATCCATTTTGAGTTAAAGACAAGAAACAAAGAAAAAAAATATCAAATGTATAAACAATACACAGAACATTATTCTATCAAGCATTATATCATGCATCTTCACCTGCAGACACAAATAAATGTAGAATGGTGACAACACATTATCATCACACAAGTTATATGAAATTATACAAAGTAATAAAATGTATAGGGAGTAGTGTTTACACGAAAGCTTGATGAGACAATAGAGAAAAAGCAAATAGAAAAAATAAACTCATTATTATTCTTAAAAACAAGCCTAATCTCCTTTTTTGTGTCAAAAAGAAAAAACCTAATCTCTTTTCAAGTCAATTATCAAACTAATTTCAAAAGGGTGTGTGTGCTTGATTGATGCAAGGACAGTGCCACATGTTTACTTTTTTTTTTTTGATGATAGAAATGCACATGTAATTTACTCTATCATGAAATGTTCATGGTTGCATGTATCAAAATCTAAAATCCACTAAGAAACCCTAATACATTTGTTATTGGTTATCATTTACAAAACCTAAATTCAGTGACCAAATCTTTGGATTAATTTCAAGAAAAATCTTACATAATTATGATAAAATAAAAGCCAGAGAAACCTGAGAGTTTCTGTAACATGATCAAATGGGGAAAAACTTAGATAAACTATATGATGATGCAATTCTTATATTTCCAATAAAAACAAGGCACAAACACACACAAGAAACGACGAATTAACAAGATACCAATATAGTTTAGTTCCTTCAATGCACCAACACCAAGAAAACTACACATCACTATCTACTTTTATTTTCAGACAAAAATTTATTTTTTGAGTTAAGGGCATGATTGGTAGTAGTATTTGAAACTCACTTATTTATATATATTCAGAAAATTGAGAAAAGTTGTTAGAAGAATAAAATATCATTAGAAAGACTAGTTAAGAATTTTTAATAAATCAGTTGGATAGAAAAAGTAGATCCTCTCATCAATCAACTTTAATTTTAATTAATTAATTATTAATCAAACACTTTCATTACATCTTCACAAACTTATTCCAAAGTTCATACACAGACATGCATGGATATATAGTCAATTAAGCAAACAACAAAATATTTTCAGGAGAGAAAGAGAGAGAGAGAGAGAGAGAGAGAGAGATTATTATCACCAATATTGTCTGAAGAAGAAACAGTGAGATTTTTGAACTGGACTTCAATCCTTTGTAGAAAAAGCATGGCTTCTTTCAAGGGTTTAGAGAGTTCTTGTTCATATTTGATAAGCATCTCACAGTAAGCTTCCATGAACTGATCCAGAGCTGGATCTTCACCTATGCAACCTGATCCAACTGCATCACCACCCATTCTCACTGCAGATGCACAAGCTTCTTCTAACCTTGCCACCACTTCACTTGGTGCTCCAACCTAACACAAAGCAATTGGTATCAAGTCAAAACTGGTGATTCGGATGAAGTGACTTTATCATCAAAGGGCTTTGACTTGAAAGAAATTTAACTCTTAAAATATATATGAAAGTTTGTCAATATTTGTAATAAATGGAAACAAAAAAACCACAGTTGTTCAAAGTACAATTATACAACACAAACTCATCAGATCCAAACTTAGTCAAACAAAGAAAAAAAAGTACACATCGTTTTCAAAGACCTTTTGGCAATTGATGTAGGCTTCCAAGAGACGGTGATAGTGAGGATGAGCCATGATCTTGGCTTTAACAGCAGAAGAAGAAGAAGATGAGGAGGCTCCATTGTTGTTATTGTTGTTGTCCATGAAATAGTAGCCTAATCCAGGAGTGTTTTGATTATTTTGAAGCATGGTGTTATTAGAGTTGTTGTTGCTGTTGGTGTAGTGATTATTATTATTAGTGGAATTAGGGATAGGAAGGAAGAGACAGCTTGTGTTGTTTGCATTATTATTGTTGGAATTTATTGGATGATGATGAGAAGAAGTGACTAAAGGCATCATCATCATTGGAGGACATAGCCCACCACTGTTTTCTCCAAAAGCACCCATCACATAAGAACAACTTCCATTAGAACTACCCTCCATTGAATGAATGAATCTCTACACACACACCATTCACTTTCTCTCTTTCAATAGTAGTGTAAGGGTCACCCGGGTTTTATGGTAAAAAAGAAAAACAGTGAAAGTGTTAAAAGTGGTGGCTAGGTATAGTTAGAGTCAGTTAGATGAAGAAAGAGTGAAGAGGTTAAAATTTGGATTCTACTTACTTACTATACTGGCAAAAGCCTGCAGAGATTTCCTTTGGAAAATGAGTGTTAATCTTTCTTTCCACCCATTTTGAGCATTTAATGAAACTCACACTCTCTCTAGTGGATAATAAAAGGTTACTTATGATTTAAAGTGAGGAACAAGAGAGAAGAAACAGAAGAGTGCACGCGGGGTAGAGATAGAGATAGAGAAAGAGAGAGATGAAGGAAGGTTGAGTTACAGGAAGAAGGGTTAGTGTAAGGCATTGGTGCCAAAAAAAGGTTTTACCTTCCCAATGAAAACTCTCCCTTCCTTTTTCTGCACTGCCACTGATAAACCTGCTGCCATACAAAAGCAGTAGAGTGAGATAGGAGAGAAGAGGCAAGTATGTTTAGGAGAGAGATAGAGAGAGATAAATAGTGAGCTAGGAACGATCAAATCGAGGAAGAGAAAACAAGTTACCTACTACTACTATAGTATACTGATGATGATGAATATATTGGAGAAGATAGGCTCATAGGGCACGGAATCAATCCCTCTCACTTTATATTCTTGTATCTTTTCTTATTTATTGTATTCTCTATGTCTAAATCTAAACATATTTATAACTTATAGATAAGTAACAAAAACCTATTTATATTCTTCTTTATAAATCTTATTTATATTATTTTTAACTCTTTTTTTTTAATAAATATTATAGTGTAAACATTTTATATGACACATTAACATTCTATAATATTGACATCCCAAAATGTATAAATATTTAGCACTCTAATAAATTTATTAAAATATAATAAAGAAAAAACAAATATCTCATTCTTAAAATTTAAAATAGATTTAATTCAATTTTATAAAATCGATTTGGTAGGGGTGAGATTCTAACACATTAATTTTGGTATTAATTTTGATGTATGAATATAAATGATGGATGTTGAATAATAGATAGAAAATTTTAAAGAATTATTAAAGTTAGTGTGAATATAAATGATAAATTGTTTGATAATAAAGTTAAAATCTTGTAGAAGATAATTTAGCAAAAGCTTAAACTATGCTAAAATATCATCTAAAAAATTAGGATTGGTCTAATTTAGTCTTAGATTTGTAATGTAATAATTATCTCCACTTATTTATTTATATATATATATATATATATATATATATATATATATATATATATATATATATATATATATATATATATATATATATATATATATATATAAAATACATAACTCACAAGTCATAGAAATATAAATAAATACATGGGTTAAGCATGGGTGGTTGTTATTCACTTGTAATAATTTGTCATAATTGAAAAGTGAATAGAAAACAGTTTTACAATTTCTTTTTCTTTTTCTTTCCTCTTTTTTCTCTTTCGTAAATTTAAAAATAATTTATTGTGTTTGTTTAAGAAACTCAATCTTTCTCATAGATTTATTTGTTTCTGGTGCGGCGTTTATTATAACAAACTGGTGCGGTAAGCATGGATCAAAATGTTAAGAACAAAGTATGAGATTGAGAAATTTATTGGTGTGAATGATTTAGGTTTCTGACGCTTGAAAATGCAAACCCTACTAGTTTAACAGCGTTTGTTAAAAGCGTTGAAAGGACCAGAGAAGATGGACGTCACCCTAATAGAGAAAGAGAAGACAATAGTATTCGAGAAAGCCCAGAAAATACCATTATATTAAGCATTGGTGATAAGGTTTTTCGGTATGTCTTGAAGGAGAAGAGGGCAGCAGGTGTGTGGAGCAATGTCTAAGGATTGTACATAACTAAATCCCTTGTAAATCGTTTGTACCTAAAGCAGGCTATGTATTCATTCAAGATGGGTGAAGATAAAGTCTTGACGGAGCAGTTGAATACGTTGACCAAGTTGATTCTTGATCTGGAGAATATTGAGGTTAGTATCGATGATGAAGACCGAATGTTGTTATTGTTGTTATTTATCTAAGTATCGTGCTCATTTCATAGAAACTCTCTTGTATGGAAGAGATTCCATGACCTTTGAAGAAGTTCAATCAGCCTTGTACTCTAAGGATTTGAAAGAATAAAAGGAGTACAAGTCATCTTCTATTGGCGAAGGATTGTCCGTTAAAAGGAAATTTTTTAAAAAAAGGTGTCAGGTTGGAGAAGAAAAAGGGTAAAGGTTAGAAGAAGTCTTATGGTGGTGATGCTCCTAGAATTAGGTGTTACCACTGTAAGAAGGATGGTCACATAAGATAGGTGTGCGCTGAACTCCTGAATAATCACAGAGGTAAGGATAATGGGAATCTAGTCATTATTCAAGATAATTTTGAATCGTCTGATGTCATGGTAGTTTCGAGCAGCAATTCTTGCAAAGAATGGATCATGGATTTAGGTTGCACTTGGAACATGAATCCAAATAAATATGTGCTTAAGGAATTATGTGATGTAGATGGTAGATCAGTGCTGCTGTGAAACAATAAAGCCTGCAAAATTGTAAGCATTGGATATGTGAGATTTATAAAGGGAAAAATGATGTGTTTAATTAGATATGTGATGTACCTTGCCTTAAGAGAAATTTGATTTCTCTTGGTGAATTTGACAAAAAAAAAGGATATGTGTTTAAGGGAAAGGTATCTCAAGAGTCATGAAGGGGTCGAAGGAGGTCTTGAGAGGCATGAAGAAACAAATCTTATATACTCTTGAGGTTAAGGTTGTAAATGGATAAGTAAATTTTGCCTCCAAGAAACCTGTGTCGAATACAAAACTGTGGCACATGAGATTGAGCCATCTTTGTAAAATGGGTCTTGCCGATTTGGGGAAACAAACTCTGCAAGGTGGTGACAAAGTCGAATATCTGGAATTCTATGAACCTTGTGTGTTTGGTAAATCCTGCAGAGTGAAGTTTAGTAAAGGAAAAAAAAGAACACATGGATCCCTTGATTACATTCATGTTGATCTTTGGCTGCCTACAAGGAATCCTTCATACTCAGGTGCAAAGTAGTTTCTAACATAGTTGATTCCATAAAGTGATGGGTATTCATCCAAAAGATTAAGAATGAAAATTTTGAAAATTTCAAAAGTTTGAAGACTCTGGTCGAAAATCAGACTGGTAGGAAGGTTAAAAGGTTGAGAAAAGATAACGGCTTTGAGTTCTGCAATGAAGCTTTTGATAGTTATTGTAGTATGTCTGATATTGTAAGGTACAAGACTACTACGAGTACTCCTTAGCAAAATGGTATGGCTAAGAGATTCAATCGAATAATCATGGAAAGGGTTATATGCATGTTGGTTAGTGTTGGATTAAAGAAGGTGTTTTAGACTGAGGCTGTTGTGATTGTAGCCTGATAAATAGGTTTCCCTCGACTTTCTTAGGGATGAAGACACCTGAAGAAGTTTGGTCGAAAAGTCCACCTAATCTCGGCAGACTTAGAGTACTTGGCTTTTTAGCCTATGCTCACATTAGGCAAGACAAGGTCGAACCTTGAGCTTTGAGATGTATGTTTCTTTGCTACACTGAAGAAGTCAAAGTTTATAGGTTGTGGTTCCTAAAGCCAAGTCATGGGAGGTGAATCACAAATCGAGATGTAGTTTCCAATGAAGCAGAAATGACACTCAAGGTAACTGATGATGCTAGTCGAAATACGAATATCTCTGTAGAGGAGATATATCAGGAAGAGATTCTTGTTGAGGTGAAGCATAATGATGTTGAATTGTATAACCCATATGAAGTTGAAGAAAAAACGCAAGTCGTTGATGAATATGAGAAGGTTGATAATGACTACCTGCTGGCAAGTGATATGTCAATAAGAATCATAAAGCCATCCCAGAGACTTAGTTATGCAAATATCATAGTGTTTGCATTAATCTTGCTAGTGAGGTGCTTGATGAAAAACATTGAAATTACAATGGTTATTAGGAGTCAGAATAAAATTGAATAGCTAAAAGCCATGGATGATTAGATTAAATCTCTTTATGATAACCACGTTTGGGAGTTGATCGAGAAACCTGTTCGAGCAAGGTTAGTCAACTGTAAGTGGATTTTCAAGGTTAAGGAAAGAATCAAATGAGTGATGTTGAAGAGATTTAAGACAAGGTTTGTTTTTAGGGGGTTCACTCAAAAAGAATAAGTCAAATTCAATGATACATTGTCACCTGTTATAAATCACAAATCCATTAGAATGTTGTTGGACCTAGTGGTAAATATCGACCTAGAACTTGAGTAGATGGATATGAAAATCGCCTTCTTGTATGGTGATCTATATGAAATAATCCTGATGATATAGCTTGAAGGGTATGCCTAAAGAGGAAAGGAAAATTATATGTGCAAGCTAAATAAGTTTTTGTATGGCCTAAAATAATTTCCTCTATAATGGAATAGAAGATTCAACAAGTTCATGACCACATAGGTTTCACTAGGAGCCAGTTTAACCATTGTGTATATTTCAGATTTCGACCTAGAAGTTCAATTGTTATTTTGTTACTTTATGTGGATGGCATCCTCATAGAAAACAACAGTGTCGAGGATGTTGCGAAGGTGAAGGCTGAACTCGGTAAGGAGTTTGACACGAAGGATCTAGGAGCTACTTCTAGGATTCTTAGGATTGACATCCAGAGAGATAGAAAGCAGTTGAGATTATGCTTATCTCAAGAGACATATCTAAAGAAGATTCTCGAAAAATTTAGTATGTTAAATTCAAACTTTGTTGTAACACCAATAAAACCTAAATTCAAGTTGTGTACAACTCAAAGTCCTATTACAGAAGTTGAAAGAGCCTATATGAATATCATTTTGTATGCTACTATATTAGGCTATTTGATGTATGATATGGTTTTTATGAGGCCAGACATAACTTGCAGAGTGAGCCTTG